CATTGAGCTTTTTAAACAGAGAAATTCAACACCTCGTTTGACGTCAGCTTGTATTATGAATTAATACATAATACAATTAATTGTGATATTACATGATGTCTATATCATTATCTCGTGCTTTGAGTGTCCGCCCTGTCCCACATCTGACGATAAAGGATAAAGCACACGGCCGAGAAACTTTTCTCATAAAAAGTGTTGATTTACAAAAAAAAATATGTAGCTTAGCTGGGGGGGGGGGGGGGGCTGGATCCGCCCCTGTGCCAGATTGAACTAACCGTTACAATACCAATGAGGAGAGTTCCATACGCTGTAACAATGTCAGACAGTCGTAGAGATATGAAATAAATAAGTTTATTCGTCTTGAAATGTATCAGTTAGAGGGGAGCCACGGTGGCTAGGTTGTTAAGACGCTGGCTCGCTAGCCTGGAGGTCGGGTGTTCGATCCCTGCATTGGCCGGTTCATCCTGATTTTCCGACGTGGTTTCCCCTTGTCAGTGGTGCAGAACGGAGGGCCTGACAAGGACAGCTGTCTAGTCCTTCGGGTGAGACGAAAAAACCGAGGTCCCGTGTATATATTGGGATGGACGTAAAAGATCCCTTGGCAGTTGGAATTCGATATAAGAGTAGGCGATAGTGCCGCTTCCCGGGCAAAATTTCCCTCATAGCACACTGTATGGCGTATGCCGTCTTCATAAGCCGAGTATAGGAGCAGAACAGTAGGACGTTAAACCCCAATTCATTTTATTTCATTTCGTATCAGTTAGTTGGCCTTGAACTTGCATGTCGCTTTCGTGACCTTGGCATTTGATTAATCGCAGGCTTCAATGCCAGGAAATAACGCGTATCGATAAACTAAATCGCTTGAATTTCGTAGTTTTATGGTATTTTGAATAACAGAAAGTATTGAGAATTGTCACAAACATGTGATATTTCTGACTCTAAGGATTAATCTAGAATAAAGTATTGTCGAATTTTAAAAGTATTTAACAACTTTTAAACTCACGAAATAACCAATGCTCCGATGCCAAGATTTGAAATGTCAGTCCCATGGACCCTTTCAATAATACTTTGAAAATGCCAAAATGCCACACTCCTTATTTTATTGGATAATGCCTATCTATCTTAATAAATTAAAATGATTTTTTCCCAATATAAAATACCGTTGGCTCCTATATAAATCAAAATAACACCAAAATCATGAATAATTTGTATATGGCCAGGGACGGATTGGGGCCGGGTGCTCTCCCCCGGGAAAATTTTGAAAAATGAATCCCAAATATGCGATTTGGTGGCATATCTGATTATAATCTCTTCAAATTCAGCCAGCAGACCAGCGTATACCCACAAACAATGTGCAGGTGACTTAATAATTAGTATAAAAATTGCGGGCGACAGTGTCGGGTGAATCCGATGAAGATGAAATTCGGAATCCCAATTGCAAGATTCCGAATTCCGGCCTACACCCAGCACACCCGGCCTTGAAAATCTATTATACCAGCCCATTCCAGACTCCAGTGATGGCGTGGCGGCCCGTTAAAGCCACCGGCCACATACAACATGATCATCATTGTTCCGTGGCCGGTCCAATACCCCCGCCCCCCATATAATGTTCAGCAGAAAAAAGGGTTTTTTTTTAGACCAATTGGACAAAATTATTTTGTTTTCATTTTTTGTCCGACGGGCCCTTGGGGTGATCGCCCGATGGCCCAATCCGCCCCTTTATATGGCCTATCTAGTATTATAGGACTGACGGGGTTTCGATTCCTCGGTTGTACGTGACAGGGAGTGGTGTCGCCCGCCCAACCTCGTGGGTTTTCTCCGGGTCCTCCGATATCCTCCCACTACTAAAAACCACCACGCGCAAGCGAATTATTCAAATAAAATTGAACCATGTGTCCATGTGTTAGTCCCCTAATGACCTAGTGGACGTTACCCCCCCCCTCTCTCTCTCTCTCTCTCTCTCTCTCTCTTTCTCATTTTAAACAATTGTAGGCCCACAAAGATTTTTTTTATAGACATTAGATATGAAGTGAGTTTAGATTTTCTTTTTTAGGTTTTTTTTTTTTTTTTGGGGGGGGGGGGTCTATTAATTATTTGAAAATAGTATAATTTATACTTGAATCATATGGTAACATATTAAATAGTAATAAAGAGTTTGTTTGCTGGGATTTTGAGGGTTTTTTGGTTCTTGCCATGGGGTTTTAATTTGGGGCGTCATCGAATTGCTTATATTGCCTTACAATAAATAAACGGGTGGGCCGCAGCTATATTTCCCATGCAATGAAAAGAAATTGAATGAAAATTATTTTAGTATGTTTGAATTATATAACCCGGGCCATTGGTAATATTATCATTATTCCAAATATATCTATTGTCGCAATAGATCTCAAAACGTAGCTCTAATCAATGTTTGTTAATGTTATAATTTTAAGTTAGGATAGGACGACGGCTGTCCTAAGTTAAAATTGATTTTAGTTAAAATTGTCCCTAAAATAGTTTTGTGAAACGCCACTAGTAGATTTTATCTAAAATGCTTAAAATCGTTTTGTGAAACACATCTATCTTAAGTTAGGATGGAATTTTAGTTTAAGACGATTTTAAGGATATTTAAGTTTTTGTGAAACAGGGCCCAAATTAACTAACTTACCTAACAGGCTTGTCCAATCTAATGCACGTTTATATATAAGGGGAGACAAATCCATTTACTGGTTGTCTTTACAAGCAAAGTGAATTCCAAGTCCAGAGGGGAAAGTTAAAACGGATTTAGCCATATCCCTTAATCAATAGTCACGTATAATATGTCGTTCGGGGTGGAGGGCCAGGTAAGGAACCACTGTGTAGTTTTTCGGATGACATGGAAAACCGAGGTCCCGTGGAATTCGAAATAGGCCTGATATAGTCAAATCGAGATGTCAAGTAGCACTTTTCTGTTCCCACAACTTCATCTATGTTCATTTCAGATATACGAGATATAATTTTCATGCTGCCCGAAAATGGTGTTTTATGTAATAGAATCTATCTATCTATTTAACTGTCAAAGGGGTGTGGAATGGGGTTTAATGTCTACTGTTCTGCTTCACCCAGACTAATGAAGACGTGCTTATGCCATGCAATGTGCTATGGCGGAAATTATTTCCCGGACAGTCGGCGTTACGGCCTAAAGTTATTTCGAAATTGAATTAGCAGGAACTCTTTTTACGTGAACGCCAGTGTGTACAAGGGACCTATGGATGGAAATTATTTCCCTGATAGTGGGCGTTATACGGCCTAATGTTATTTCGAAATTGAACTAGCGTGTACAAGGGACATGTTTTTTGTACCATCCGAACGACTAGACGCAGTTCCTTGCCAGGCCTTCCTCAACAATCGAACCTACTAGCGCAATGTAGAGGCTCACAACAACGATTAATGTTCTGGTTATGCTTGATAGGGGCCTACCTTCGGTAATGGCGGAGAGCGGTGAGCCTGTCAAGGAAATCCGCCTAGCCGTTCGAATGGAGCAAAAACCGAGGTCCCATGTATACCATAGACTGTACAGGTTAAAGACACCCTTACTGTAGGCAAATCGCGGGTAAGTTAAAAATTGCATATTTCTTGTGTCCCAAATGCCCAACAGGTTGATCATAGGTAGTATATACAGACACAATTAAAATTCTTTAAAGCTTACTTGACAATTGACGTGTATATATTATATTTATAAGTATAAATGACTAGTTAAGCGGGGGGGGGGGGGGCGCAAAAAATATAAATGTTTCTAAATCATCATACCACGCGCTGAGCTTTTCGGAGTCGTACCTAAAATCATCTAAACTCGACCCCCCCCCCCCAAAAAAAAAAACAAAAAAAAACCGCCCCACCCAACAACATAAATTAATAATGTTTGGTGAAATACGTTATCAGTTCAAATGGAACGGCAGTCGTTTACGACTGCTTAGCTCATTCTAAGCGTTTTTTTTTGTTTTTTATTTATTTATTTATTTATTTTTTTGTCGCTTGTCAACCAGCCTTTAGCAATTATTTCCGCATAGTCTTGTAAGATAAGTTTTTATTTGTTCATTACAAAATGACACCCGAAACAATAGGGTAAACTACTCGTGTACTGATTATAAAATGTTAATTGTGTTTTAAATATTAGACATTAGGATCCTATAGGTTCATGGCAAAAAGAAAATGACCAATATTGATTGAAATTGACCAATATTAGATTATAATTCGTGTTTTTAATTTGGAATATTATTGAAAATATCGTACTGGATGACAAGATAATATCACGGGCCTTATAATAAGGTCCAGAATCATATGCACAAATTTTGACAAATAAATATCTTGTGATTTGTATTGTTGTTAAATTATGAGTTAAAGCGAGAATTTCAAATTTTCTAAGAAAGTCAAAACATAATTATTTCTATGTCTTTTGCTCAATAGGTTATCAAATCACTTTGATACGATCATGGGAATTATTTCCCACCCTTAAAAATCTATGACACTGGAAATAACAACACAATTACCTCCCCTGTTTTGCTATTAACAACATGGGGCAGCCATTTTCCAACGTTGGAATTTGAAGTTAAAAATGATATTTTTGCCAATTTCTCAGCTGGCAATAGTGAATTATAGGATTAACAGGATTATTCTTTAACAAGGTAAGACTGTTTATGGATACCATCTATTTTAAGCCTTTATTTATATACATTTAAAAATGTAACTTGAAAATTTGCAATTGCAACTTTAAATTGCGATTCTCTATCTTGGCGTTCTTCTTTAAAAAATAGATAAAAACAAAATTACTTATACGGTATTTCATTTTTCTTTCATATCCTTTCCTTCCCTTTCTTAGATCTATGCTTTGTTTGCACATGACATTTTTTATGTTCAAGTCTGTGTGACAAATAAAAAGCCTTCGCTTTGAATGAAGGAACAGCCCACTGTCAAAAGGAAGAAGATCGGTGGTGAACGTGAATTTTCGGAAAACATCGGCTACTTCCGGTATTTGCGTATTGGAGCGGAAAAAAAGATCATGGATAATTCGTCGATAGCCTTGCAATAATGACAGATAACGGTTCATAAGACCAGTCCATCGATTTAAGGAAGGGTGGGTATAATTGATAAATATTACGATATTGCATGATTAAAATTCTAGGAACATTGGTGTTGAATTTACTCTATTATATGAACGAGGAGTTTTGACGTTCTGCTTTGTCTACACGAAATGTTGTGGTGAAAATATCAACAAAGCAGTTTGCGAATGTCTGGTTCAAGATATGACGTCTGCAATAATAATAGTGTCTATGTCTATCGTTTAAGCTTATGTCTAGCCAGTTATGATACGGCCATTTATATATTCATTGGTAAATATTGAACTGATGTAAATAGCCTATTTATTTGTTATCATTTGGTTAGAATTAGGCCTCAGTAGACTGTATATTATTGACTATTGACTTTGTATATTGTAGGCCCTATTGTGTGATACTGATAGGCTATAATTAGGCTATCACTATTCATTTATTGCTGGGAAATATACTGTCTGATGTCAACTGCCATTTCTTTGTTTGCCTTTTTCTGAAATTATTTTAACATGAATCAAATACATGTTTTTTTGTTTTTGTTTATTAATTTTTATTTTAATGCTTTCTTGTTTCTTTTTGTGTACCGTAATCTTTAAAAATGGACACAACCTCTTTGGGATATATGGAATTGTTTTAAGAAATGGGTATATTTCTACATTTAATTTTAAGAATTAACATAGACAGATACATGTTGACCCAGTCTTTGGATAGATTTTGTGTTCAATTAAATGGAATTGAACATTGTTTTGGGTCATTTTGATACCTGTACCGTACTATTCTGCAAGATAGGCTATAGTTATTTTTTTTTATTAAAGCGGCATTATTCAAGAGCTCAATTTGCCTATTGCACGTCTTTCTTTTGGCCTTAAATGGTATATAAATTATTTAACATGACAAGACCATAATCAACTCTTGTTGTCATTGTATTACCCAGATTTTAAGTAGATTAGAACGGTTTGGCCATTTAATGACTTAATTTAAACATGGAGAAGCGAGGCTAAGACTCAAATAACCAGCACCATGGTTATGATAATAAACAATCCGTGCATACATCTTGACAAAACAACAAACAGTGATTAATTTGAATGAAATTTTCAATATATTCATTTTGCATTATCTATTTTTGAACTATTATAGCAAGAACAGCCGGCTCTTTATCTAAATCTTACATAATATATCTTTAAAATACTACACTGAGTCTTTGACATGAATTTTTGAGGTAAAAGGTTTATTCATGCATATCCAGGCTTACACGCAGACTACATACGCTACTTATATATATTCCTTTTATTGTTGTTAGACTTTGTCGTAAACGTTCATGTAAGGTCTAACTTCCAACGAGTTGCAAAAGTATACATGTAGCATCTAAAACCTCTTAACGTTATTGTTTGTATACAAATTGTACTCATTTGGTCATAGTTGGCATATTTGATTATTGCGAAAATATATTATTATTTGATATGAAACAGATGATGCTTCAACCTGTATCCGTCGTAGCCTTTATGATTGTCAATCAAGGATGTTTAGGATACCCAACCTTTTCAGCCATGAGGGCCCAATGGCCACAACCTTAAAGGACAGAAAAAATCAGTTAAAATCACAAATGTAGCACAATCTCATTAAAACACATCCTATTTCGTTTCATTTTTTATAGTTTAAAATTTCATTTTACTTGTCTTTACTACACAAGGATCTAGAAGAGTTGTTATATAATGTAGGTGTTCTAGATAATGTGAGGATTTAGTCTATGAAACGGTCTGTTGCTGCGACTTCTTGGCGTGCCATGCATGGAACTGTGGGTAAACCACTAGAAATGCCAAAGCTGATTGATTAATCAATGTCTGACGTCATAGGGTCAAAAGCCTCTCATACGACCCCTGACACGAACTTCGAGTACAACTTTTTATATCTTCATGTAGTGTAGGCCATCGAAAGTATAAAAAAACGATACGAAATATACAATGTAGATCTGTATTTTAATCAGATTGAAAGTACCAGTAACAATCATAAATGATTACTGGTAGTGATAATGAATTTTATTATTAAAAATTGAACTGAAGTTTTGATCAGAAATAGCCGTTATTTGCCTAGTTCCTTTAGGAACGGTGTCTAATCGGACTATGTCTACTCACTCTTCCTATTCATCCTTATTAAGCTGCAATATGAAAATACCGCTTTATCCCCCCCCCCACCTGTGTTCTAAGGCTATTTTAGAATCCTTACAGCTATTTTTCACTGTGATTCTTCTTGGTTTGAAAAAAGGAATCATTTCTAGCCACATCTGAGTCTTACACAAATTTATAATAATTTGACACTATTTTCAAGTAGAATTTTGCGATTCAGCCACAAACCTGTGACCACTAGGGTTTCATAATGGCAGACCAATTTAAACATATTTTGTTTATACTAAATCTGCCTATTATACGGGTTTTTATTTTGGCTTCAAAAAAGGTTACCGGGTACCATATAGAAATTATTATTTAGACATTTGTTTATATGTATTCATATGACAAGCCTGTAATCAACTCTATATCTAGACTGTCGGATGGTGCAGGTGTAAATGGATTAAAATAGGATAGCCATTTAATGATTCAGTTAAAAAATGGGGAAGCGAGGCTGAGCCTTTATTAACAAATAAGGTTGCTACGATAATAAACAATCTATGTCAAAACTTCAAACAATGATAACATCGTTCTGAATGAAGTAATTTGAATCCAATGGTTAAAGGGTTAAGCGAGACACTGGGCGATTGAGTGGTCTAAGATATATGTGCACATCAGATCAGTAAGGTCTTGCACGGTTTTGATCCCACAACTATGCGCAAAAAGGAGAGTACAGTGGTCTTCCCAGCCTCATGGTTTTTCTCTGGGTCCTCCTGTTTCCTCCCACAGGTAAGACCCTTAGGCTCAAGTGAATTGTTAAAATCAAATTATGTCATCCGTTAGTCCCGAAATGGCCTCGTTTGTGTCGAGTGGAGGTAAATACATGTACTCTCTCTCGCCTCTTCACGTATCAGGTTTTCCAGTTTTTCTGATCAATCTATAACTTTAAGTTGAGTTAGAGCCGTGAGGATACATGTATACTATAAGCTTACTGGTTATTTGATTACAATATTTGCTTTGTATTTATTGAAACAAAGAATTCTGTCTGGATTTAAAAATGGATAGCGGATGATACACTGTATGTACATGTATAGGTCACTGTGCAAGCAACCTAGAATAATGCTTGACATACATGTAGAAGAATATGCCAATATTCCTGTAAACGTCAGAAATTGTAATTAAAGTTCTCCAAATCAAAGGGATTGAAAACTCGGCATCTAAGCAACATATAGCCCGGTTGAGATTTAAAAAATACAATGTAATCGGAAGAAATCAAAATTACCAGTCCTTTATACATGTTTTTAGTTCATTTTCTGTATTTTGGTGGGAAGAGTTTGGAAACTCAGCATGTAGCCAGGTCCAGATTTCCAAAAATACCACATAAATTGTGTTGAGCATTAATTGCTTGTATTGGAATAAAAGAGTGATCTGTTCTATTTCTAGGCTAAATCATAGTTAATGATTTATACAAGTATGGCTCTAATATAAATTCTCTTTAAAGTGGCGAGCAGTATAATTGTTGTGGAATTTGGTCAATGTCAATAATTTGTTTTTTTTTTAAATGTGGGGTAGCGTGGCTGAATAATCATGTGCACTTTAGATCATATGGCCTGTCATTGAGTCAAGTGGTGTGGTTTCGATCCTGTCCTCGAACCTGCTTGACCTTGTGGGTGTTTTCCAGGTCCTTTAGTCTCCTACACCACTGTTAATAAATGTTAAAAAAGCCCTATATGCAAGCAAATTATTGAAATGATATTATACCGTATGTTTTAATCACAAAATGACAATCAGAATCCAGCCTCGAGAAATGAAATGGGATTTACTGTCCAGTCTGTCCTACTGACTACTGTTCTTCTCCGACTGGGCTATTGAAGATGGGCATATGCCATACAGTGTGCTATGGGGGAGATTTTGCCCAGATAGTGGCAATATGGCTTACTCTTATATAAAATTCCAACTGCCAAGGGATCTTTTTTGTGCACGCCAATGAAGACACGTCGTGTAGATGTAGTGAGCCAGTACCATACTTGGCTCTGGAAATAATTTATACAATTTTTGAACCAGGATCTGGGCTGGCTGCATACAATCATGTTCTTGGGGCAATGCTCTTCAAAGAAAATAGCCTAAGGCTCTGCCTATTCGAATACGATCAGCAGTAAACTCAATCTGATTAAAACACAGATCCTTCGTTTCGTTTTTTATAGTTCAAAATTTCATTTGACTTATCTTTACTACACTAAGATATAGAAGAGTTGTTACATATACATGTATTTATAACCTGCATTCTGGATGATGCTAGTTTTTGGTGTGAAGAACTGTGGGTAACCCACTAGAAACACTGTATATTAGATCTGTATTTTAATCAGATTACAGGAAACTTGCCTTGCTTGTTCTTTGGACAATTGTGCATAAGGTCATCAACAAACTGACTGAATCGTGCAATCCACAACATGTCTTAACTTAAATTTTAAATTTATTTGAAAATTCTAAATTCATATACATTCATGATTTACAATTAGTGACATTCATAATCAAAAGTTAAAGTTATTAATGTGGAGAAATTTGTCTGGTTTGCATGGACTCGTTGGCTCTTTAATTTATCATTACAGATAATATGTACATGTATTTGATAATAGCCTAAGGCTTTACTGGTCCAGACTACATGCGATATAGTTTATAAATACATAATAGGATTATATTCGTCGACTAATAATCTTTACCAAAGAACAAAATTGATCAGAGTTTGTTATACAGCCAGTCAGTGATGATGTAAAAACCATTGTTATTTTTTATAGAATAATAAAGAGAGAAAATTAAGTTTTGGTAGACTTTGTTTGATTAGGTAAGTAGCTTACATGTAACTAATTTTAATCTCATTTCGATTTTTATGGATAAATTGATTGGAAGTACCGGTATGTGTTGGCTTTTGTTTGATAAAAAACAAATTGCTACTGTTTTAAAGGGGCTGCTGCAAGCTCCTAGTGCTGGCACGATATAATGTTGAATCGATATATCGTGATTCGCATTCTCACAATTCGCGTATTGAATCGTGAGACACTGAATGGATGTATCGTGATTCTTTTATATGGGTACACTACAAACAGTCTTGTTCCTTATTTTGATCCACATCAATATTGTGATATAAACTTATTTCTTCAACATCAGCAGGACTAGAAATATCAATTATTCATTTACCGGTATCCTGTTGTTGTCTTGGTAAATATTGACCTAGGCCCGTATTCAAAGGATATCTTTAGATTAAGATAGTCACTTAACTACCGGTACTAGATTTCACTTAAATATACTATTCAAAAAAAGTAGGGGATATTTGATTTTGGGTGCATAATACTAAAATATGCAAATGACTACGAAAAAAGTCACTATAGAACCTAACAGAAGAAACATTTCCAGTTACATGTGACGCCCAAACGCACCAATAGCTACCGCATGGAATGCAGGTGATGCTTGGGATCATCATGGGGGTCCAACCCAAGATTTGCACGACTCTGACTTTGAATGTTACAGTCATTGTGGCATTGAATTCCAGGGTGGAAACATCAGTTTAATTGTTTTAGTGACCAGAAAACAAATTTTGATATGCGTCGGCTTACCCAAAATGAAAGGTTACGTGCCCTTGGCATGCTACAGATCGGCACAACACAGGCGGTTGTGGCGCGGACGATGAATGTTTCTCAGTCTGTCATAAGCAGGCTATGGTCCAGATACCGTGATACACAATCTGTACAGGACAGACCACGCTCAGGTCGACCAAGGGCGACAACTCAAGCCCAGGATCGATTTATCCGTACCTTGGCCTTGAGAAATCGTGTCATCACAGCAAATCAGATCAGCGCTCGTCTTCAAACAGACACTGGTGTGAGAGTGAGTGGCCAGACGATTCGGAATCGACTGCATAGGGGTCACCTTCGCGCCCGACGTCCTCGCGTGATCCCTTGTTTGAGAGATCATCACATTCAGGCAAGACGTCGTTGGTGTAGGGATCGTCAACACTGGGATAATCGACGCTGGAGCAATGTGATGTTTTCAGATGAGTCAAGGTTCACTGTTGATTTTTTGGACAGACGTAGGAGGGTGTGGCGTCGTCGAAACGAGCGCTTCCAAGACGTTAATGTCATCAGACATGATCGATTTGGGGGTGGTTCTGTTATGGTGTGGGGAGGCATCACTGTTGCTGGAAGAACGGCTTTACATGTTGTTGCAGGGCGTGTTACAGGCCAGTACTACCGGGACAACATCTTGGCAGTCCATGTTGTGCTGTTCGCACGACGTCATGGCCGCCGTTTCATCTTCCATTTGTTTCTTCGTCAGTTTCATTAGGTGACTTTAATAACACTTAAAAATCAAATATCCCCTACTTTTTTTGAATAGTATATATGTAACTTCCTGTAAGTTAAGGGTAAGTGGTATTCAAAGGCAATGTTAAGTATAAAATTTTCCCTTAAGTTAAGCTGCCTTAACTTTTAAGTGTTTAGTCTTTTAGCGGTATTCAAAGGCCAGTTTAAGTGAGAAAAATCCACTTAACTTTAAGTGACCTATGGGAGGTACCTTAAAGTTAAGCGAACTTATAATGACTTCTTTAACCGGAGTACACAGTGTAGTAGCAGGCCCGTAATGGCGATTTTAAAGGTTAGGGGATTGAGATTGAACAAAGACAATGTCGCCGAGCGTAGCTGGCCTCAAACTTTTTTTTTCATCGACAGCTTTGATGTTGTAGTGACATACATGTAATAGTGTATAAGGTTACTATCACCGAGATGGTCATGGATATATTTCTTTCCGATCATTTTATCCTTTTCGTATTGCTCATTCATGTTTTCCGGTACGGTCTTATAAAGTTTAATGCGCTAAAATTTGACACTGTGTTGACTGTTGATATTCCATTGTAGATTCCGACAAATATTTATACTACCATGAGAAATAAGGCCTGATTTATTTTTTACAAATTTTCCCATATCCATATATGAAGTTAGCTGTGAATTGAATTATTGTCACCAATGTATTACAATTAATTTCTTGTACATATTACTTATTGCGTTTTAATCGGTATTCTGCAGGTAGAAACTAACGTCAATTGCATCTTTCGTATACACAATGTACCATCAACGCCGCAAGGCGATTGGGATTCTAAAGAGTAGCTCTGACCGAATTTCTATAAATTTCTCAAATGATAAATTGATAAAAAGCATTGAATGATGTTTTCAGCCTAACTTTAAAGCCAAAAGTCCCTGTGTATAATTGCTAAGATGTTGTTTTATATTCGTTGTATACATTTTTAAAATAATAAAATTTACAATATCCGCCATTATACTACCACTATTCGATAACTTCAATAGAAATCTATTGAAATTGAATTTTCTATAAAAATCTACCAGTCTAGTATGACTATAGTGGTGCTTTTAACTGGACATAAACTAGCGTGAGAAGTGAGAATTTCATGATTTTTGACAATTGTAGGTATTCCATCGGTTAGAAATTCATGCTTTTTGACGATTGCGGGTATTCCATAATTTAAGTGTAGAGTTAAGTTTTTCACATAGCCAAGGAAATGTAACATACAGCCTTTGAATACTGATTTAAGGTAACACAGTTAAGTGGAAAAATTAAGTATATTTACTCAACTTTAAGAAAACCTTTGAATACAGGCCCTGGTTATGAAATGTGATACGAATTGTATCGTAGCACCTGAATCGCAATGCTTCTCGTATCGTGACTGCAGTGGCAATACGCAGCACTAAGAGCTACATATACATGCATTACAATCAGCCATAGTGGAGCCACAGTGGCTCAATGAGTACTGAGCTAGCGCTAGCTCACTAATCGGTTCGATCTCGGTATTACATATTACAATTACAATTAGCCATAGTGGAGCCGCAGTGGCTCAATGACTACTGAGCTAGCTCACTAATCAGTTCGATCCCGGTGTGGGCCATTATAGTTTACTGTGATTCTCCATTTTGATTTTCTCATGTCAGTGGTGCAGGACAAAGGGCCTGGCAAGGACAGTGTCTAGTCATTCGGATAGGATAAAAATCCAAGGTTCTGTGTGCAGGCTGCCGTGCATGTAACAGAACACTTGACAGTTGTCTGGGCAAAAATTTCCTTTATAGCATAGCACACTGTCCGGCATGCATGGCCATCTATGTCGGTTTTCATTAACCGAGTTGCCAGTTGGTGCAGTAGGACCTTTAACCCAATTTCATTTCACCAGACATAGTCCTGCAGCAGGTTTTACAAGTCTCAGTTATTCCGTCTTTAATCTCATTAGACAAGAGTCGTCCACTGAAATCATACAATGTATGATGACTGGTTACTGACATGGTTTCAAGGGCCTGTTTCACATACATATGTACATATGGTTCAATTCATTTAGTCTCAGACCAGACCTTTTACAAAATTACCTAATTTACTTTTACTTATTTATACAGTATGTATCTAATGTCTATTAGCTTTTAATCACAAGATAATTTAGTTGACATCACCGATAAAATTATAGACATTATTCTAAACAGTCTCTATCATTCAGACGAATATTATGAATCGTCAACATTTGAGCATATACATGTATATTAAGTCATTGGGAGAACTCAAAGAGCGTGATGAGGGAGGTAAATAGCCCCAATACAAAATGGCGACACTCACGGAATCATTTTCAAGCATTGACGTTTCAGACAAATGTATTTGCATTGCCTGTTCAGCATCCATGATTTTTGTCTTTTTAAGGGTGTGACATCTATGGATTTTATTTATTTTAATTCATTGTCACTTAAAGGAGCTAAATCGATTATATTAGGGACCTAGAAATTGACACAAATGGTCCGCCACGCATATAATAATGTAATATGTAAACTGATTAACATTCAATCGTTTCCGTTTTTACTCAATCGAATGGCAATCTCTAGCATCTGGTTATTCTAGTCTACACATATAGTATTTATTGCACATGCTCTACAGTACATGATTCGTGTAGGTACATGTACCAATGATTATATGTTTATTTTGTCTTAAATATCGGATATCAGAAGCCCATCTTTTCCCCCGTAAGATCACAACATCAATGTTGACTTAAATTGACAAATAATTTGTGTTTTCATTGTGGAAGACTTTGGATGATATTGAGTTAGAGACTTAGCTTCTTTATAGGAATGTAATTGTAAACTAAAAAGTTCCATTGCCCATGCATAACTGGGAGTTTATGTGGTTGATTATCCAGTCACGTTTCTTCAAATGTGGACAGTTAACCCAGACCCTGAAGGTACATGTAATGAAGTGTTGGAAATATTTAATTACTGGGTAAGCGAGAAGAGTTTGGTTGTTAATTACATGTAGGCTGTGTGCATCCCTCACTCACTGCAATACTTATGATGAAACTGGAGTTGAGTTATTTACGTTGGCTTATTAGAGTATGTCACTATACTTACTAGTGTAGTTCATTATTATGTAAACTCACACACACACACCAGTACTTTATATTAAATAACTTCTAAAAATAGCTTTACGACTTAAGTGTTTTGAAATAGAAAAATTTGAACTTTATCAGTATATTGATGAACTCTCTATAAATAAGTGGCTGCAAGTTTAACATCGAACTTATGTGCAAATTCCAAAGGGCTAAAATGTATTCAGAATTATCGTTTAATACATTGTACAGGTATTCAATAAATTTATTGGAGTCTAGCCAGCCTTCTTACGTCAGTGTTTGGTTTTAAAAAGGGCGATGGTCGGTTTACACAATGTAACTTTATAAAGTCACTGATGTGGATGGTCGGTTTATTATACAATGTAACTTTAAAGTCATTGATTGTTGTTTGCATTTTCTGGACAATATCTACTATTTCACAGCTTAATCTATGCTAAAATGGGTACACCCAGATTGATTATACATGTATAACATTTAAAGATACATTATGTAAGATTTAAATAAAGAGCTAATTCTTGCTATAATAGTTCGAAAATAGATAATGTAAAATGAATAATTTGAAAATTTCATTAAAATTACTCTATTGCAAGACGTGTGCAATAATTTCAACCACCTTACTGGTTCTTCGAAGCTAAGTCTCGCTCCTCCATTTTTAGATTAAATCAAAATATGGCTGAACTGTTCTAATCTATTTATTATCGGAGAAATCTGATGCCATCGAGAGTTGATTATGGCCTGGATCAGTTAATTAATCTCTAATTAATAATTTAGAAAGCATTTCAGGCCTAAAGAAAGACCTGCAATAGAAAGATACATTCACACGAAAATATTTATGGGCATGTCATTTCCTATAAAAGTACAGCATATTTAGTAAAAACCTGTACATGTATTGGAAAGTACATATAGATGCACTCAATCTTCCTAGAAAAATACTGGATTCCTTGTAGAACATCCATAGCGCCTGCAGGACAAAAATACAAGAGTGACAGTCTGATTATATAACAATTAAAAATACATTTACCCGATAATATTTATAAAAGTACAGCATATTTAGTAAAAACCTGTAAATGGAAAGAACATATACATGTAGATATCCTCAATCTTCTTAGAAAAATACCGGATTCCCCCCAAAAAACGAAAAATTGTTTTGTGAAACCAGGGCCAGAACTACATGTATGTTTATATGCATGTGTAATGCATGGTAGAATATAAAAAAGAAACTTAAATTACAATTATTTTATATTATGATTAAAGTGCAGCAATTGTATGAATAAAGATTATTTCCAAATTAAAAGAAAAATGCAGCTAATTTTCTCTGCCGTATTCGTAAATACATCTCCTGCAAAAAAAGCAACCTGTATTTTATGAAGCAACGCAAGATCTGTGTGTGTCATGTCTTCCAGTCTGAGATGAGTTGTGGATAAAAACATGTTACCGTAAATAGACCTTAATTGATTGAATTGTACAAAAGATTGAATTGCTATTACTCTATCCCTTGTTAAAATTTGGATCAATTTAATGGGAAATAAAGAACAGCAGAGCCGAAACTGAGAAACCTGGAGTCTTTCTGGATTTGAAATGAATTGGATCGATTAGGTCTCTCGTGGAACATTATTTGAGGAAAAATGGAAAATTAATTCTCTTGCATTGTGGATGTGAATTTTATTCATGAGTGCAGTGATGATACAAAATGTATTTATATAATTAATGACTTTCAGTATTGATAAATTTATCATGCATAAAATTTTTTCAGAAATTAATCGGTGGTCTGCATCAGGTTTGCGCAATAAATGTGTCATTCAATGACTAGGCTGCCATAGAACTCCAACGATCTGCACCATTCGTGTGATTAAGGCATGAGAAGTTATTGATTGAATTGAATTTTTATTGGCTTGTGTATAATTTTGGTATCTAGTTCCTGTGAATGGGCGTAATGTGTAGCCCGTACCATTGAGTTTTCTAATTAATTATCTTTTATTGAATTTAAACTTGAAGTGACAATTACAGGAGCTAAATTTAATATTACCGGTATCCATAATATTTTAAATTAAAAACACAAATTATAAATCCATTTTGGGCCATTTCAATGAATCAATATTGATGTTAACTTAACCATATCCAATTTTTAAGAGTAAGACACAGTGAACATTTGAAAATCAGTACTCTATGGACATAATGACTTTGGAAGCCATTTGTAATGAACAAAGAAAAACATATCCCAGAAAACAATGTGGAAGTAATTAGAAATGACTGATTCACAAACAACTAAATGATAATAAAAATCTTTCTACAAGGTACTAAACAGACGTAAACGACCGACGTTCAGTTTGAACTGTTCGCATATTTCACCTAATATAATCGATTAGAAATTACAATAAAATTTCAGTAAGTTTTAGTCCGTTTTTTCTGAACATTAATGTTATATACACTACATGTACTTACTTACTTACTTACACAGTGCTTAAACTTATTAACTTCAAATCTTAAAATTGCAATTATTAAAGATAAATGCATGGCATATGGTCTTTGAATAGAGAATTTTGATTGACCATACATGTACATGTACCTGATGCACATACTACATTATACAAGTAATTGTGTTTTTATGTTTTGTCCTATATTATTCAAAAGACTGTCATATGTTGATTTATATCCGGTACAGGGATATCAATTTATAGTTCAGAAAATCTAAATATTTAACTTTGAATAATTAAAAACTTGCTGACAATAGGAAAGTACAATGCAATCCAATCTACAGTCAATTTACATTACATGTAACTTGCTACAGGATTTAATTGGAGAAATAAATGAAATTGAAAGCAAATACCTACCTGTAAATGTAATTTGAGACGAATCGTCTAATGGTAGCAATGCATGCACTTTAAATCGTTTGTCGTCATTGAGTCAACCAGTCTGGTCTGAAGCGTGTGTTTAACAAAGAGTAGGGTTGCCTGTGTAGGCTAATCTCATGGGTTTTCCCCAGGGTGATCTTGTTTCCTTTCACTGCAAAAGAAATGTACGTGCAAGCAAATTATTGAAGTAAAATTGAACCATATGTTAGTCCCAAAATGACCTAGTTTGTTTTGAGTGGACATTAAAACCCATTGCCCCCTTGCTATGTGTAAACAGTTTTTTTTTATTGACAAATTATGCATCTTTAAAAGGATATTGCCAAACATTTCAGCTGTGTATAATGCATGTAATTTGTTGAGAAGCTACATGTAGCACTGTGTATAATGCATGTAATTTGTTGAGGAGCTAGCACTGTGTATAATGCATGTAATTTGTTGAGGAGCTAGCACTGTGTATAATGCATGTAATTTGTTGAGGAGCTAGCTCTGTGTACAATATATATGTAATTTGTTGAGAAGCTAGCACTGTGTACAGTGTATGTAATTTGTTGAGAAGCTACCTGTAGCACTGTGTATAATGCTTGTAATTTGTTGAGAAGCTACACATTTGACCAAAAAACAATCTGATTAATAATATAGAATCTATATTTCTTTCAATTGATTTTTTATACTTTAAACAGACTTCACTACATTAAGATCTGACTGATTGTAGAGGTTCATGTAGGTCGGGTAAGGGGTCGTGTGAATGACCTTTGATCTTGTTACTATGAAGTCAGTTCTTTGATTAACAAATCAGTGTCAGTGTTCCAAGTGGTTATTTGGAATTCCAACTTTTGCTTTGTTTTGTTTTTTTATCGCTGTCCATGTCTACCTACAGTTCCGAAGACACCACATGATAAGAACTCTACTCAATATACCATTTTATTGGCTAAATCAACTGGATCGCTGGTTATGGCAACGCTTCCAGATTCTAGCCAAGTAAAACGAAATATTGAGCTGCAAGCAATGAAACGACATTGGATCTGTGTTTTGATTATATTACAGAGAAAAATTTTGGAGACGCATTCACTTAGTCATACATGCTCTAAAATAAATTTAGGAAAAGTAACTTTTTCTGGTTTTATGAACATGTTTTTTTCCCCAGAAAGCCAGTAACTACATATAGATTCTTTTTTAACCAACTCTCTCGTGTTCTGAAACAACGTGCCGTTAAATTTGAGTTTTTGTGTGTTTGTTTTTGTTTTTTTTAAAAAATCTCTCCTGTTTTTCTCTTGTAGATATTTAGCCATTCAGTAAAGAGATAAGATACAAATCAGAAGAATGATGGCCAGCTGTCCATAATGAATACCTTCATATAACTTGGAACAAAAACTCTAAAATCACAAGTTGACTGTAGCTGCTACAGTTTAAGCTAAATATGGGAAGTGCTTCGTCAAAGTTCCGCAAGTATCTACAGAGTGATAATGAAGTGGCGGCACTGCAGCTGTATCAGAATAACAGCGATCTCCGTAAGGCATTAGATCCAAATTGTTCCTACGGTGATTCACATCAACATGAGACTCCTCTACATATATGTGCGCGGCACGGGATGCGGTCATTGCTCAGGTATAGTTTTACTTATTTATACGTTCTTTATCTGAAATAAAATGAAATGGGGTTTAATTAATGTCCTACTGTTCTGCACCAAATTGGCTAATGTGTCTTCTTTGATCATTGCCATTTAGTAATTGAACATATTATTAACACAAGGTACGTTTTAATGGATACACAATTACTGAGTATAATACTCTCGTCTTTATCAAACAAATGCTACAGGTATGTGAATAATAGGCAAATATATATGAAAAATATGCAACAAAATTACAATCAAATACAATTAAAACTTAACACCTTTGATTAGGGGGCCATTTAAACCTACACTGTGGAGGTTCATTCTCACCCAGCTCAAAACTTAAATAATCATATTAGCGTGACTAAGGTGTTAATTGGAATTTCTAAAGAAGGATTAGCTGTAGTCTGTTTCACATTGGGCACTGTTTATTTCATTAGGTTAAGCCTAATAGTAAAACACAATCACTTGATAATGTTTTATTCAACACTTATTATAGTAAAACATGTTTATTTTAACACTTTTAATGTAAATGGAAAAACTTAATATAAAAAATAAATAACTAAATAGTACTATGAAATGAGCATCAACATTAAAAATATATATTTCATATGGGCAAGTAAACATTTCATACTTTTTACTCTAAATGGACAAGATGAGATACCGCATCTACATAAAGCATGATGTCTCTTTGACACTTATTAAACACAGTTCACATGACACTTATTAAACGGTTAATCCATATCTAATTAGGTGAACACATTTCAGCTACAGACCATAATCCCCCAGCCCTAAACCCTTAATCCCCTTAATCAATATTTTGAGCTGGATGAGAACACCCCACTGTGGAAACTCTTGTAGCGATTAAAAAAGGGAGGGGGGAGGGGGAGAGTGTTATTATTATAACAATCAATGTATTTACACCATTAATGGGAATGCAATTAACCTGAGCTATAAATAAACAATACTTAAAAGAGAAGTGTGCATGTATGAGTGAACAAGAGTGATAGCTAATACAAGGGAAAATAAAAATTATTAATTCAATAAACAGAAAATCATGAAAGATTAACGTATTATTAGATTATGAAACTGGAGGGGGGAAACCGTAAATATATTAATTCATTAAACTATAAAACATGAAGGATAAAACCTATTATTAGGGTTCGTTACGTACACAGGACCTTGTTTCCTTATACAATCTAAACATCATTATTAGTTATTCCTACTGTAAAACTCTAACAAACGAAACAATCATTTTACTTAGCAATACATTATATATGGAATTCTCCACCCTTAAACATGCAACATAAGATCAAAGGATTCAAAGGATCTAATGATAACGATGACTGTGGATTTGACTTCTTTGTTTTAGCACTGCAGGAACATACATTAATAATTATTATATCTATAATTCTAACAACCAATACATCACACAGGACCATAACATATCATAACAGATTGTAGTCATTATGACCATCGTCTTAATTCACGTCTGCTTCGATTTTCTCGATAAGCTGGTCTCTTGGTAAGCCTATCTCTCTTTGTCTTACCGTCTGAGTTCGGTTTCTACCTGAGATCATTTATAACGGACAGGTGTTATCAACAACCTTATTAGTATATGTATTTGACAGCCATTCACAAGTTATAATACATATTAGGAGCCTTCATTTAACGGGCCATCATATAATATTATGTAATAATATGAGATGTCTTACTAACTTATTTATTAGATGTGTGATACACCTGCCTATACCATTGTCTTACAGACATCAAAGAATCTGAAAGTTTAGACATCTTCAAGTTTGAAGATACATCTATTTGATGAGAATAAACAATAAAAAAAATCCAAATAAATTTTAAAATGCATACAGAGCTTATCCTTTTGTTCACACTATACAAATTCTGTGTTGATTAATATATTGACCAAGAGGGTTTTAGATATTGATTGCTTCATGCTGTGAGTCTGTGACAGATAAGTCAGCTGTGGTCCCTTTCATCTTTCATTGAATATTTAAATTAATTTGTTAGTGTCAAATAATAGTATTGAGACATCTTATTAAATGCCATTTATTCGATTTCATTTCAGGATATTTCTATATGAAAAGGGAGGTAATCCAAACAAAACTAATGTTCATAAAGAAACTGCTCTACATTGTGTCTGCATGGAGAAAAATTCACAGTTCTACAATGTACAGCGGCGACGTTTAGACTGTTTGGCGATGGTATTAAAATGGAAGGGAGCTACGCTACAAGATGAGGAAGTAGAAAAGATCGATATAAATGCTGTTGATGAGGTAATGTTCACATGTTATGTTTTATGATCGTGGGGGTCTTTTAGTGTTGGGAGGTTCCAGAGAAAACACTTGAGGTTGTGCAGGCAACCCTACATGCATGTTTGGGATCAAAACCACACCACTTGACTCAGTGACAGATCTTATGATCTAAAGCACATGCATTAGACCACTTAACAACCAATCCCTCTCCCCCAAATGTAGATAAAGACAACACCAATTTTAACTTTCGTTTTGTGGGTACATCTATTCAAAGTTAGCTTTTTATTCTTGGGGTAAATATAATTTCAAAGTAAAAAGTACCTGTTTGTTCTTTTCAGAAGGATTGAGTAGTTTGACCACCTCACACTAAATTTTGAAACAAGCTGTCAAGGATGTCTGTATTAGAAATAACTATTTTGTAATATTCTGGTTTAATAAATCTTAACTGAATCGCAAACTGAATAGATTCTTATTTTCAGAATTCATTTTATTTTATAGAAACAGAACACAGCACTACATTATGCCGCAGCATCAGGACTTAAAGCATGTGTTGAGGTAAGCATTTAAAGTGGATATTTATCAGGCAATATGTCTTAAGGATTAAAGTTCTGGAAGAAAACTGTCCAAACATACATGTAGCCGTAGCTAGAAAAAAATGACCCATATTAAGTTTTACCATGCATTGATTTTATGTGTGAGAGAAATGAGGTTTAACGTCCACTCGACACAAACTAGGTCATTTCGGGACTAACATATGGTTTAAATTTTATTTCAATAATTCGCTTGCGCATAGGGGTCTTTAACAGTGGGAGGAAACCGGAGGACCCGGAGAAAACCCATGAGGTTGGACAGGTGACCCTACTCCTTTTCACGTACAACCGTGGATTCGAAACCACGCCAGTTGATTCAATGACAGGCCTTATGATACAGCGCGCACATGCTAACCATTAGGCCATCCAACCCCCCTTGATTTTATATACCTGTAGTAGGCAGTTATGACACTTCATTTGAAAACTATCTGAATACTCTGGGTCAGAGTGGGTAGCATTAACTTTGTGTTATTGATACAGGTATCTTGTCTTTAACAAAGAACATTATGTAGGACAGTTTCCTTAAAACACCAGCTTGATTATTGATTTACAATTTTTTTTATTTATTTATTTTTTTCCTCCTTTTAAGATGCTAGTTCAGTATGGTGGACCATTATTTTTAGAAAATGCTGAGAATCAAACACCATGTGATTGTGCTGAACAAAATGGTCATTCTGAAATTGCTCTATATCTCGAATCAAAGATGGTATTTTCTGTAAGTACATTTGGCTCAACATGTTGTGTGTTTAAGTATTTATGTTAAGTATTCTTTAGAGGACATTAATAATGCAACTGTTTACCAGTGCATTTTAAGTATTGTTTAATGGTCGAGAGCGAGACATTAAGTAATATATTGTAACAATATATTACGCAATGTCTTAAGCTCGAGACCATTAAACAACTTAAAATACAGACACTTGCACGTGCTTTGCAATGAAATACGTCACTCGAGTTCATTATTTTACCAAGTTACGCTTGGCACATTGCCCGTACGATTATTTGAAATAAGGGTACTCCAACATCAAAGTAAGGATGACGTCACATCTGTATTTTAAATCCATTTAAATATCAAAATGTCATTCACTGGTTTCTTTAGCAAAACAAGAGTTATTTCCCTTCTGCTGGAGACCTACCCTTCAGCACTTGGTAAGTATTGACTCCCCTTGTCCAGTGAAAATAATAGGTGATAATGATATGATTCACATCAGTATATCACTGCATAGTCTGAAACAACTGCTCACTGGACATACTAAACTTAGACTGTCTGTCTACAGTTAGCTCTACTTGAGAACAGACACTAAGCTAGTTGACTGACATTTTAAGTCCTAATTCGACGATATTAGTCGAAGTATAGATTGAGAATTTTGTTCTACTTCCATTTAATAAATCTGAAAAAGTTTATTTAGTCTTTGCATGTATGACGGATGTGAAACAGAGTAGAAATGCATTACAAAACAGTATCCTATTTTTTGGATATGGATGCCGTTTAGGGCAAAGATCTATTCTCAAGGAATGAAGTAGATGGATCTCTGTGTGCAGAAAGCTCCCTATACTGCCTCAAAAAGCTCTCCATATTGCATGACCGGATACTAGCTCATGGGGATGCGTCATCTATTCCCATGACTCTGGCGGTTTGTGACAGTGCTAAAATCATGTGTATTACATGTATATTGTATTTGAAATAGATATATTTTTTTTAGAATGATGGAGAAGCAGCCGAGGAAGATGAAGAATTATTTAATATTCCTGTTGAGGTAATGTTGATGCTTCTGCTATTGAAATTTTATGAGTATGAAAATTTGTCAGGGAAGAAGACTTTTCGTTTTATGCACCCGTCTATCCACAATTGCTTGCCTACATTTTCTAAACACTGGCTTGTGGAGGCACTAGAGGATAAAGTTAATATCGGATTGACTTTAAATTTATGTAGCCTTCGGTGTTTATGCTCATGAGACAAAGAAGCTTTTCATTTCTGATAAAAGTATTGTCTTAAATGTTTTAAGTTATACTAGTGCATAACCTGGCGCTGTGAGTGTTGTGCCCGTAACTCCAAAAGCGGAAGTGGTAGGCCAACACCACCTAGTCTATGTTACTTCTCAATTCGAGCTACCCCTATACACCAAATTTCAGCCTCGAGACAGCTCTAGTCTAGACAAACGACAGTCACAAATATTAGTATAGATGTGTATAATTGATGTGTATATGTATGAGTATTTATATGTTGTGTATAATTGACAAGTATATGTACGATATAGATGTTGTGTATAATTGACAAGTATATGTACGAGTATTTATATGTTGTGTATAATTGACAATTATATGTACGAGTATTTATATGTTGTTTTGTAGGAATATAGTGGTTTACGTGCTCAAGATCTACAAGAGGCTAAAGATCAACTTCTAGTAGAAACTGCAGACATGCTCAGTGTACCATTATTTACAGCCGAAGCTTTGTTACGCAATCATGGTATGTATGGTTAACACCCCAGGATCCAAGGATCCGAATATTATAACAAAAGTATACCAGTTCGTACACCCAAAATTATTCACAACATATGTGATCATGATCAATTCAGATATTCAGCCCTAGACTACATGTACCTACATGTGTGACAAGAAGTTCTGATCTTTTTATTTGCTTGAATGACGAGATCAATATTGTAGCCAAGAAGTAGCACCTAGTTGTTTAGATGAGAAGAAAAACAAAACAAGGTCCTGTGTACATGTTCGCATGGAAAATTTCTGTCATATATTACTGCGTGGTGTATGCCTGTCTTCATTAGCCCAGATGGAGCAGAAAAATAGGACGTTAAACCCCATTTCATTCTGTCGCAATTTTATTTTGAATAGTAACAGTGCATTCAGTTGTAATCTTTTTCTCGACTTACAGAGTGGTCCAGAGAGGCATTGCTGGAAGCATGGATGACTAACCCTGTTGATGTATGCGAAAAGTCTGGGGTCATGACCCCCACCAATTTGTATAGTGATATGCCTGAAGTACAAGATCAATTGAATAGTCCACTACCAAGTCCTAGTAAATCTAGCCCTACTAATCCTGATCCTATTGTAAGTTTCATTTTAACATAATTATCATCCCATGCAAAGCACATAGTTATTAGGAGGAATACTAAACGGTTCTCAGAACATTTATGTCTTTTATCTGGTCATCGACCAAACTGTTCTTGGACCTCTTTGCTCTGGCTAAGGTCACGCTGATACATTTTGCATACATTCATAAGTACTGCATTAACTCGTGGGTCATATTCTTTTAAAGCCATACAGGGGTTGGATGGCCGAATGGTTAGCATGAGCGTGCTGTATCATAAGGCCTGTCATTGAGTCAACTGGCGGGGTTTCGATTCCCCGGTTCTACGTGACAAGGAGTAGGGTCGTCTGTCCAATCTCGTGGGTTTTCTCCGGGTCCTCCGTTTTCCTCTCACTGCTTAAGATCACTATGCGCAAGCGAATTATTGAAATAAAATTGAACCATTTGTTAGTCCCGAAATGACCTCGTTTGTGTCGAGTGGTTGTTAAACCCCATTTCTTGCTTTCTCTCTCTTTAAAGCCATACTTTAGAACCATATTTGATCCCATATGGAAACCATCCCTTTTCGTGGGCAGGTCTGAATGATTTAACCCATTTACACTATTGAGAACCAGCAGTGAGGGTCCAGGTCCGAACTGAGCGATATCCTATTTTTGTAGTGTAAATAAGGTTAAATTTAAAGGGGTGTTTTTGTGCAATAAAACATGTCTTGATATCAAGGACACAATGAATTGCACGAATTTAGTGCGGGATTACATGTATTGTCTAATAGTTAACGGAATTCAGAATCAATGGAATCCCTGATTTGTGATAATGGTAGAACTAGCACTGCTGACTTTGCTTAACACTTCTTTCATAACAAAATGACTAATTGTTTCATTTTCGAATTATTTCAATTATCTTTTTTTAAATCAAATTTTTGTCAGTCAGTGTTTAGGAATACAGCTTTATTGGTATTTTTTCAGTGTGATATTTGTACGTGCTCATATACATCAACAGATGAAACTGTACATACATGTGTTGTTTGTGATCATCATTTCTGTAAGGAATGTTGGGAAAGGTAAACATGTATTTCTACATGTAGATAGTTTTATAAACAGATAGTCAAATTTCTCTCTTGTATGGGGGGTTGGATGGCCGAATGGTTAGCATGTGCATGCTGCGCTGTATCATACAGTCTGTCATTGAGTCAACAGGCGGGGTTTCGAATCCCCGGTTGTACGAGACAAGGAGTAGGGTTGCCTGTCCAACCTTGTGGGTTTTCTCCGGGTCGTCCAGCTTCCTCCCAAAGCTAAAGACCCCTGCGCGCAAGCGAATTATTGAAATAAAATTGAACCATGTGTTAGTCCCGAAATGACCTAGTTTGTGTTGAGTGGACGTTAAACCCCATTTCTCTCTCTCTCTCACTCTTGTATATGGTTGCAGCATTTTGCACTCAAAGAACTATTTACTTCGAGAATAGATCTCTGCCCTGAATGGCCGCCATATCCAAAAATTAGTATAATATTTTGTAATGCATTTCTACTCCGTTTCACATGTCACATGCAAAGACTAAATAAACCTCTTCTGTTTTTGTAAATACAAGAGGGATAAATATTTTTCAATATTCTCGAAGTATGCTTAGTGTTTTCGAATGTTGGTCAACTAGCTTAGTGTCTGTTCTCAAGTAATTATAGGCAGGCAGCATAAGTTTAGTATGTGGTTGCCAGTGTGTTGCTATTAATGTGCCGATCATTGGTTACAACATAAGTATCAACTAGAAGTTATCCCTTGCCAGGCCATGCAATTCTGCACCACTGACAAGCAGAAGCCAGACTGGATAACCCCTGGAAATGTTCTCGGCCAACCCCAGGATCAAACCCAAGACATCATCTTCAGTGAACAAGGTCATTACTCTCTGTGCCACCGTGGCTCCCCTCACTACAAATATTTGCATGGCTAAGAAAGCTGCTGGTTTCCTGGGATTTTATATTTACATTAATTAGATCTTATTTATTTAATTTATTGAAATACAAATATTTGCATGGAAAAAAAAAAGAAAGGTGCTGGTTTCCTTGGATTTTATATTTACATTAATTAGATCTTATTTTATTAATTTATTGAAATAATATTTTGTAGATATCTAAATCTGAAAATACAAGAAGGAGATGCTCATCATATAACATGTCCAGCTTATGATTGTAGTAAATTAGTACCATTAGAAACTATAGAGAAAGTTGTCTCCCGTCCTATGGCTATCAAATATTTACAGTTTGATATACAGGTAATATATACAGTAATTCTTACTGGTTGTAATTACAGTAAACCATGGCAGGAAATCCATCGCAGTTAAATTTATAAGCTTACAGTTTTTATCAATCAGTTACGGAGCACAACATGAAATTATTGTCATGTTGGATAAGACATTTTATTCCGTATATTAGTATCACCTGGCTTTAATTGACATAACTCAACCATTCTTCTGGCAAGAATTGTACTTATATAAGTGTAATTTAAGAAGACAGCCAAGCTGATATGTAGTTGTGATAATTCTCAGTGTAATGAATGAGTATAGCACAGAACGAATGAATGATAAAAAAAAGATAAACAAAGCTTAAAAAAATTCCCCAGATTAAAAATTTATCCACTTAATCATATTTAAACCAAAATTTGTGGAAATGGCAGTCATCATCATGAGAACTGGGCAATATCGATTGAAACGTGTTTCGGTGGTTTGTTACTTCACTCCACAGAGATTTGGTCTATCATGTGCAGAACATTGGACATGTAGCGAGGTTGTGGTCATACTGTAGTAACTGTTAAAAATTCTTGTCTGAAGATTGTCTTAAAATAGTTCAAAGAATGTTTTATATTTTTTAAAATTTAGGCATTTGTTGAAAGTAATCCTGATATGAAATGGTGTCCATATCCTGGTTGTGGTCGAGCTGTTAAACTACCAGATCTTGATGGTTCTGCGGCTACAAACGCAGGACATCCTAGAATACCCAGTGATACTTCTAGAGGTGTTGATTGTGGCAATGAACATTATTTCTGCTGGTAAATACATAACATTTAGATAATTTGGGATCATATTTTATTTGGCTGCAATCTTTCAGTAAAGAAGGTACATGATGACTAAGGTCTGATATCCTTTAGGAAGAAAATATTTGCACCTTATTTATTGATAGACACATTTCAGGACTGTTAAATCTAGGTTCCCACTTTCGTGCGCTACGATAGGATGGTCCCTATTGAATCCACGACCTGGTACTTGCAGATACGTTCGGATATGTTTTGATATGATCAAGACGATTACTCCACGATTTCAATCGCAGCACGAATTGTGATAGTGGGACCCTAGCCTAACCGATAAAACCAATGGTCTATATTTTCTTATTACCTACACCTATTTCATATTTTGTACCTTTTCTCCTTATTGCCTATATCTATTTATTTTTTGTACATTTTTTCCTTATTAGGGAATGTTTAAAAGAAGCCCATGAACCATGTAGTTGTGATAATTGGGATAAATGGTATAATAAGGTAGCAGAAGTCAAGCCTGAACAAAGTAAGTGCAGGGATGATTGATAGCATAGAATGCGCAACAAAATATCAAGAATTTATTTCACTAAAGATCAAACATATTGTGTATATATTTATACTGCACACCGAATCATGATTATTGAAAATATGACCATAATGTAAACCCACTGATCATCTTTTCATTTTTCTAACACAATCTAATATTTCATGACTTAATTTACTCTAAAACATTTAATTAAGAAAACAAGATCAGTATATCAGTGGTAGTTCATCGGCCGGCCTGAATTCAATCAGATTAAGAAAAGACCTTTTAAAATATTTTAGCAAAAGCTTTTAGGTGGTGCTGGCTTGTTTATATCATATCTTTGTAAATATTTAACCAATTTGATAAATCTTTTGTTTTCAATTTTTTTTTTTTTCATTTTAGTGTCTGGTACAGAAATAGAAACAGAGAGTGCTGCTAATTGTTTATGGTTAGTGACTAATTCCAAACCCTGTCCCAACTGTAAATCACCTATACAGAAAAATGAAGGTTGTAATCATATGAAATGCTCAAAGGTAAATAGTTTTTTGTATACTCATTACTGTAATGGTCTTTATTAAAGGTAACAACTTTGTGCACTCATTACTGTAGATGTGAATAGTTTGTACACTCATTACTGTAGTTGGTCTTTACTAAAGGTAAAAAGTTTGTACCACATTACTGTAGATTGTCTTTATTAAAGGTATATAGTTTGTACACACATTAATGTAGATTGTTTTTATTAAAGGTGAATAGTTTGTTTAAGATAATCATTACTTTAGATGGTCTTTATTACAGACACAGTGACTATACACAAACCAGAATAATTTGTCATCACTGTAGACATATTTTATTATTTTGTAGTGTAAACATGATGTTTTGTTATCTATTTTGCAGTGTAAACATGATGTTTTGTTATCTATTTTGTTGTGTAAACATGATGTTTTGTTATCTATTTTGTAGTGGAAACATGATGTTTTGTTATTTATTTTGCAGTGTAAACATGATTTTTGTTGGGTATGTCTAGAACAATGGAAGAGACACAACTCGAGTACAGGTGGATATTTCAAATGTAATCGATATGAAGTGGTGAAAAAAGTTGAAGAAAAAACCTCACAAGTATTAACAGAGGTAATTATATTGTTTTTTTATTCTATAATTTGTCTATAAATGTATTAATGGGGCAGTTTAGCCTTTGTCATTAATAGTTTTTTTTTTATCTTCGATATGAATGTTAAAAGAGTTTTAAAAATGTGCTTTTTGAAGAAAAAAAAATCCTAAATAGTGACTGATTGATCCCTTAGTAACATCGCAACTGCAAGCGTCAAATAAAGCCAAACTGTTTGGTACTTCGAGTTGTGCATTTTTTTTTAAAACTGTTATGATAAGCTGGATAATGAATAACATATACTATATACACAAATAGCAATGGTTAGACTATCACTAACCCACCTGTGTGCTAAGTAATTTTAATAATAAATAAATAATGATAAATAAATAACCTGTTTAATAAGTGTGAGCAGGCTATTAAGGTAAAGTCTACTTTTATTTTTCTGAAAACCAGACCTGTGATGGTTCAGTCAGTAATTAATTCGCTGGCTCACTAACCAGGAGACCTTGGGTTCCCTTCCGTGGGTCTCTTTGGCAGCACTGCAGGATGGAGGTCCTGGCAAGGAATAACTGTGATGAGTCATTTTGAATGGGAAGAAGATAACCCTTGACAGTTTGAACTCAAAATACAGAGTAGACTGTAGTGTCGCTGTCTGGGCAAAATTTATCTAATAGCACACTGCATGGAGTAAGCCTGTTTTCATTAGTTCAAATGCATAAAGATGACTGCAATATACTGATGTTTGTTTTATCCTTTTACAGGCGGAAGAAAAAAATCTACGTATGCAGGAATTGAATAGATTTGTACATTATTATACACGATTTAAAAACCATGAAAACAGTTTCAAAGTAAGTTTTATTTTTTTAGAAATACAGTTTTGCAAAATATATATTTGTATTTCTTAGGGCTACATTGATAGAGATAAAATTTGTTTTTATATGTCAACAATTCACTGTGGGCGTGTTATGTCATCATCCGGTCTGTCGGCTTGTGAATGCGATAGAGGCTACGTACAGTTTTCGATGGATTCATGAGAAGACAAACCCTATTGATATTCAGCATTCCATGACTTTCTAGGCTTGTGTTTTCCTCCCTTTGCCAAAATATCAAATTTGGCAAACATCAAAGTTTTCCTTTATGATAAACTGTATCCGAGACATTACTGCTGTGTGGACATGCTCATCTTTTACAAAGAGGAAAGACCAAATGTCATTTTAGAACAACTAGAAAATATTGCAAAACACACTTTGCAAAAAGACACATGCACTGGTATTCAATTTGAAATGTTACATAATATTACATTTATAGCTGGAAGAACCTCTACTTAAAACAGCCCGTAATAAAATGATGAAATTAGCCGAGGCCGTTACTGATCCTGGTAAGTTCAGACCCCGCCTTTGGAAGACATGGGAGCACGATAACTTTTATTCTAATTACAGATTAAGTTACCAATTTGAGTTCATTTTAGTATAGTTTAAGCCATGAAAAATTAGAAATAGTCCCAAAAATAACAATAAGCTTCTTTAATATGCCCTGTGTAAATATGTTACTTTGTCTTACAAGGTATGTTTCCACTTCTTTTACACATGGAATTTATTTTATAACTACAGCTACAGCTAATGCAGAGACTAAATTTGTAGAACATGCCGTGCATCAGTTGTTGAAGGCAAGACGTGTATTAAAATCATCGTATGTATATGGTTATTATCTAGATGGACCAGGATATAAAAAGATTGTTTTTGAATTTATGCAGGTTAGAATGTGTAACTTGTTTAAAGATACATTATGTAAGAGATATTTCCTGTTGTTTTTCTGGCTTTAAGTGTTATATAAATAATTATATAATCAACTCTCTAGACCTTTGGATGACTTAGACCATACTCGCCATTAGTGCATTAAACGCTAATATGGCTGGAGACTGGCGATATAGGAACTGACAGTCAAGACTATATTATCGTGGCAATAGTACTTGACAATCAAGAATATATGAATGAATTGTGGGTAAAATTTCTATCTGCCAGTGGTTGGCTATTTCTTGTCAAAACTTCAAACATTCAAAACTTCACTCTGAACGAAGTAATTTGACTGAAATTTTCAATATATTCATTTTTCAATATCTATTTTTCAATATCTGTTTTTGAACTGTTATAGTAAGAATGGCCAGCTCTTTATGTAGATATTACATAATATATCTTTAAGAGGTAAAATGTTTCTCATCCATCATGTTTGGATTACTTGTAATGGTCCATTAAATATATTGTGGCAGGTAAAAGTAGCAGAATTTCAATTTCTATTCAGCAATAAACCTAGAACCAAAGTTTCTTGTTTCAGTATGGTAGAATAAGTATTTTGATTTTCGGTGTAGTTACCTTTATGATATCAAATGAAATGGGGTTTTATCATCTTACTTTTCGGCAGCAATGAAGATGTACAGAAACCATACACTGTACTATAAAGTCTATACAGCTACGATTCCGTCATCTCTTTGAACTAAAATATGCAATGGTTCTTTTACATGTATGCCAATGTGTACACATTTCCTTGGTTTTTTTTTTACCTATCCAAATGAATAGACACTGTTCTTGTTGCAAGGGTCTTCATCCTGTACCACTCACAATGGGAAACCACACTGGAAAATCTGTTAATGCCTTCTGTTGAATAAAAAAATTTTGTATAAAATGATTAAAGACTGAATTTATTTAATTTACAGACTGAATTAGAAGAATGCACGGAAATCTTATCACAGATGGTCAACCGACTGTATCTTAGAACACCACGGAAGAAGATTATTGAGCAAGCTCTGATAGTACAGAGAAAGAGATTAGAATTTTTAATCGCTATATCTAAAGGTCTAGTACCTCCAGAAACACCTCCATCACTACGTAAAAAGCGTAGACGAAAATACAGCATGGAGTTAGAAGATGTAAGCTGTTAAATATGTTTTCATATCTTTTGAGATTGGAGTTTTTCAGCTTGATTTTGTTTTTATATGGTAAACATTAAAAAAATGGCCATGATTGGTCTGGAGTTTTAATGATGTTTTTAAAGAATAACTATAATTGGATTAGAGTTTTAAAGTTTTTTTTTTTAAAAAAATAACTGTAATTATTTTAGCGTTTTTAATGATTTTTTTTTAAAAAGTTTCTACGATTGGTTTAAAGTTTTAAAGAATAACTATGATTGGATTAGAGTTTTAAAGTTAGTTTTTTTTTAAAAAATAACTGCGATTATTTTAGCATTTTTAATGATTTTTTTTTTAAAAAGTTGCTACGATTGGTTTAAAGTTTTAATGATTTTTTCAAAAATAGCTGCGATTGGTTTAGAGTTTCTATGATTTATTTTAAAAATAACTGCGATTGATTTAGAGTTTCAATGATTTATTTTAAAAATAGCTGCAATTGGTTTAGAGTTTCAATGATTTATTTTAAAAATAGCTGCGATTGGTTTAGAGTTTCAATGATTTATTTTAAAAATAGCTGCGATTGGTTTAGAGTTTCAATGATTTAATTTAAAAATAGCTGCGATTGGTTTAGAGTTTCAATGATTTATTTTAAAAATAGCTGCAATTGGTTTAGAGTTTTAATGGGGGTTTTAGAAATACCTATGATTGATTTAGAGTTTTAATGGGTTTTTTTAAAAAATAGCTACAATTATTTTTGAGTTTTAACAAATCTTTTAAAAATAGATGCGATTGGTTTAAAGTAGTAATAATTTTTTCAAAATAGCTGTTTTGAGTTTTAAAGTTTTTTGTTAAAAATAGCTGCTATTGATCGACTGCTTAAAAAAATGATCATGTCTAGTAACTCATAGGTTCATTTTAGGCTTTAATTTGTCCTATTATTTATTTCTCTTTATTATAGGAAGATTTAAAGAAGGCCATAATGGCATCTATAAAAGAGGTTGATCCGTCTAATCCATGGATTAAAGATGCATCCGGTCGTCATACCAACGTGATGGCATATCTTGATTGGCCAGCTGAAGATTCGGATGATTCAGAAGCTGATGTAGCTATTACATCATTACGTAATTATGGTACACAATATATTAGAATTAGGGACGTAATTAAAAATCCATTTACTGCCGATTCCACATTTTTCTCTTTGAACATGGTATGATAGTTTATTTATTTTTTTATAGATGATCTATTATTCATAGATGTAAATCATTGGCTAGCTGGTATTAACACAAAATCAGATTACGTTTATGGTCTAACGCGATCATAAGAATGTCATTGAGTCAGAGGACATGGTTTCGATCCCAAGCTTTTGTTTTTATATAAACAATATTTTATTTCAAAAGGATGAAAATGGTTCAGGGAACAAGCATAGCCTATAGCACCCCTGTCCTTCCAAGCTTGTACTGTTTGTGACAAGGAGTGAGTCGCCTGCCCAACTTTGTGGGTTTTCTCTGGGTCCTTTGAGTGAACGTTGAATACCTATTTTAGACTCACATCAGGAATGATTTTTACAGTGTTTTTTCCCTCGAGTGTAAAAAAAGATGCTCAACTGTCAATCCGGAACATTCTGAATTGAAGTGTGTTGGATGGGGTGTGGGAGTACAAGTGTGGTTTAATGTCTGTGCTTTTGATTGTAAAGTTTGTCATTGAGTCAAATGTAAACAAAGAGGATGGGAACACTTCGTGGCTAAATCTTATCGTTGAGGCATCCATTGCGAGAGTGTGAATCCATTTTGATTCAAATGCTTTCCAAGTGACTTATTTTTGTCAAATGGTATGGTTTTGATCGAAGTTTGTATGTGCTTTGAAAAAAAACTACGCATCATGGAATTATTGATAAAAATTCTACTATATGCTAGTCCCACAATGACATAGATTATGACATCTTTTGTTTTTCAGTTGCAATTGTTGCCCAAAATCCTCATGTTCTCTTGATTGTTACTGTTTGTCAATCTGATTAAAATACAGATCTATATTTCGTTTCGTTTTTTTATACTTTCAATGGCCTACACTACATGAAGATCTGACAAGTTATAGTGATAGGTCACGTCAGGAGTCAAAAGACCGACTTATGACCCTATGACGTCAGACATTTGATTAACCAATCAGCATTGATGTTACTAGTGGATTACCCACAGTTCCGCGAAAAACACGCCTAAAGCTCGCAGTAACAGACCATTTCATTGGCTTATCCCTGACACCATTCAGAACACAAGTTAAATAACAACTCTCCCAGATCCAAGTGTAGTAAAGACAAGTAAAACGAAATTTTGAACTATAAAAACGAAACGAAATAGGATCTGTGTTTTAACCAGATTGACTGTTTGTGGAATTGAGTGAAATGAGTTGTAGCAGTCAAGTATACCCAATGTTTATTACACATGTCAAGATGTTTTATTGTTGTTACAGGTAAATGTTATAAATCAGGATGTACCAGACCGAGAGCACCAAACCCTCGTACAGGAGAGATACATGATTATTGTAGTCCTAGTTGTCAACGTGCAGATCAAGAACAACAGATAGCTAATGAACAAAAAGGTTAGATATAATATCACATACATGGTGTGTCTATGATAGCACAGGAGCAGGACAGTTGCCTTCCAAACAATTGAGGACGCTAGTGCAATAAGGTGGACAATTGCCATTGTTTTTAGATAAAATCATTTGTTTATTTCAAATAAATCAATTTTTAGCAGATTTTATCTTATCACAGTATGTCAATTTCAGTGTTTTGGTCTAAAAATATGAAAAATGACTATTTTGGGCAGATTGTATGAAATGGTACTCATCCACCTTATTGTACTAGCATCCTGACATGCCGCCACGCTAATGTATACTCAGATTGTTTATTTAACATTTATCTACTTAACGAAACAAAAAATACCAATGCTAGATAATCTTCCCACTTGGATTTCAAACAGGCCTATCAATTTGGTTCATAGAGAGGGGGAAATGGGGTTTAACGTCCACACGACACAAACAAGGTCATTTGGGGACTAACATATGGTTTAATTTTATTTCAATAATTCGCTTGCGCGTAGGGTTCTTTAGCAGTGGGAGAAAACCCACGAGGTTGGACAGGCGACCCTACTCCTTGTCACGTACAACCGGGGATTCAAAACCAAGCCAGTCGACTCAATGACAGACTTTTTGATACAGCGCGTGCACGCTAACCATTCAGCCATCCAACCCCCCAGAGAAGTGAAACATCGCTTAGTAATAAACAGTAATTGTATTTCATAGTATTGTGTATTTCATAGTATTGTGTATTTCATAGTATTGTGTATTTCATATTGCGGGGGGTTGGGTGGCCGAATGGTTAGCACGTGCGTGCTGTATCATACGGCCTGTCATTGAGTCAACTGGCGTGGTTTCGAATCCCCGGTTGTACGTGACAAGGAGTAGGGTCGCCTGTCCAACCTCGTGGGTTTTCTCCGGGTCCTCCGGTTTCCTCCCACTGCTAAAGACCCCTACGCGCAAGCGAATTATTGAAATAAAATCAAACCATATGTTAGTCCCGAAATGACCTAGTTTGTGTCGAGTGGACGTTAAACCCCATTTCTCTCTCTCTCTCTCGTATTTCATATTATTTTGTTCACTAACCTGGATAACATTATATATACTGTTTATTATTATAGAAGAAATACCTGAGGTTATATTAGATGAACATATGGATTTATTGAGAGCATTAGAGATGTCAAGATTACAGTATCTACGTGATACAGGTTTATTATACGTACCTACAGAGGGTGATGACAGGTAGGTTATACAATATAGTTATATGTACTTTCAGAGGGTGATGACAGGTTATACAATATAGTTATATACAATATAGTTATACATGTACCTTCTGGGGGTGATGACAGGTTATACAATATAGCTATATACAATATAGTTATATAATATGTACTTTTAGAGGGTGATGACAGGTTATACAATATAGTTATATACAATATAGTTATACATGTGCCTACAGAGGGTGATGACAGGTTATAGGATATAGTTATATGTACCTTCAGAGGGTGATGACAGGTTATACAATATAGTTATATACAATATAGTTATACATGTGCCTATATAGGGTGATGACAGGTTATAGGGTATAGTTATATGTACCTTCAGAGGGTGATGACAGGTTATACAATATAGTTATTTACAATTTAGCTTTATGTACCTTCAGACGGTGATGACAGGTTATACAATATAGTTATATATGTGCCTACCGAGGGTGATGACAGACAGCTACGTTGTAGAATCTAAACCTGTACCATCACTAATCAAAATGAATCATTAAGTGATGCTGTGGTATCTAAAGAACCAGAATATTTTATTATATGGCCTAAAACTTTAATTTTCTTCATGTGCTCGTTGGAAATCTTGTGTACACACACTTAGCTTAGAGAGGACACAGTATGTTTGAAAATACCTAGTTCATGTTAACCAGGACTTAATTGAAGATAATCCTTTAGTGATTGAGCATTGGTACTAACTCTAAACATGTGTTCTGCAATCATTCTGTCTAGTGATCTTTTTATTTCACCAATGTATCATTTATCATTGCAACAATCAACTTCTAGTACTACCAACCAATGTTTCATTTGTCTGCAATATCTTCCTTGGTGGAACCAGAGAGAGAGAAATGGGTTTAAACGTCCACTCGACTCAAACTAGGTCATTTCAGGACTAACATATGGTTCAATTTTATTTTGATAATGCACTTGCACATAGGGTCTTTAGCAATGGGGGGGGGGGGGACCGGGAGACCCGAAGAAAACACATGAGGTTGAACAGGCAACCCTACTCCTTGTCACGTACAACCAGGGAATCGAAACCATGTCCCACAAACAAATGAATAGTACAAACTGTCATTTGTGTTTGAAAAGGTTAAGAAAACACTTGTATGTATGTATAACAACCAGTTCTTCCATATAATTGTTTGTTGTGTTTTTAAATGCAGATGGTTTTAGATTATTGTGATACTTTTTCAGTGAACCATCAACAAGTGGTATAGCTACAGGATCAAGTCCACAGAAAATCAACTCGAGTCAACCAACTGCTGCTACAAGACCTAGATCCAATAGTCTAGGTTCGGCTTCTAAACCAAATGATTTGACTCCCATGGAGAAACTTGATATAGAATTACAAAGAGTCATTGAAATATCTTCTACGATACCCAAAGGTACAGTTAGCAGTCTGTCATGTTAAACACTTCTTTGAAATTTAAGGCCAGTGGTTTCATGGTTTTGTTAGCACTCAACATATTTTTTTAAAAAACACCCATTGGCAGTGGCTTAGTTTCTTTTGGGAGTTATGGGTTTTAGCATCACCTGTTAGGTAAGAGGTGAACACATGGCCTTCGAGACTAAGCAGAAATGTAATTTCAGTGCTCCCAACATTACAAAACATCACATTTGTATGTTTCTACATCTTTATTCGGACGGTACGAAAAACCATGGTCCAGTGTACACATTGGGAAGCACATAAAAAAAAACAATAAAGAGTAGCAGTATTCTGATCGAAACCTATCTCTACAAATGATTTTCAATTTAATAATGTCAGTCTGTCCCAATCAGCTAGATATACAAGGTAACTATTGTACTCGACAGGAAGTAAAGAACGTAGCCTTTTGAATATAGGTAGGCTAATATTTTTAGCTAATATTGTGGATCTGTGTTTGAATAAGCGAGACCAGAGTAGGGAGAGAGAAATGGGGTTTAACATCCACTCAACACAAACTAGATAATTTCGGGACTAATATATGGTTCAATTTATATTTCAATAATTTGCTTGTGCATAGGGGTCTTTAGCAGTGGGAGGAAACTTGAGGACCTGGAGAAAACCGATGAGGTTGGACAGGCGACATTACTCCTTGTCACATACAACCGGGGAATCGAAACCACGCCAGTTGACTCAATGACAGACCTTATGATGCAACGTGCACGTGCTAACCATTCAGCCATCCAACCCCCCTGACCAGAGTAGGCCCTATACAATCAAGGAGTTCACCTCGGGCATGTGACTGCTCATCATTATCATTAAACTTGTTGTTTCAGGTGTAGAATCTGAGTCTATAAATAAACCTGAAGGTCATATAGCCAGCCATCATAGAAGGTGTAGCAGTAGTCGTTTTGATGAAAATATGTCAACAATAGTTCAACGAGTGCCAAATAAAAGTGTGGAGGATTTATATTCTAACGATACTACAACAAACAGTGTTCATCTGCCATCATGTACGTGTGAAAAATGTCTCGAACAGTTGGGAGCTTGTGCAAGGGTCGAGGGTGAGGAGACGCGAAATTCGTGGGCCGGATCATCAAATACTTTTGGTATTATTAAAGATTTATCGGTGTCCAATATCCATTCAGATGAAGGCGACAAAATGGTGCATTTCACATCAAAAGATTTTGCTGCCATCTTTAATAAAGATACCCATCTCTTTCCCCAAACATGTAAAAGTAATCCCTCTTTGAGTGAAATGTCTCCACCAGAAAGTAGTGCCTTTTTACTTCCCTCAACTTTAAGCGGGAAACCACGCGAAGCCTGGGTCCAGGAATCCCCATCTGAAACAACCAATAATGCTGAGATTAGTTCTGAAGAAAGCAGCCAGACAGAAGAATCCCATGTGGACAAGGCTTGTAAGGCAGCCATTTTGAGCTTGTCCAAACATCCTGAATTTGGCCTTGTTCTTGAACCAATGGCTTTTTCGTCACCGATTGATAAAACTAACGGAAACACTTCAGACAAACAAGAAGACTACAGTGAAACGAGTGTGGCGTCAGATATAGGAAATGACAACCAATCTTTTACTAACTCAACAGCTCATAGTGATTCGGGACATGTATCCTTGTTAGAAATGGCCGAAAATCTTGTTCAGATGACAGAAGAAATGAACATACAAATTCAGGAAATGAACGAACAGTTCAGCTCCACAAGCGATGAGCAGCAAGTAACTGCTGATGATAACAATAGTGCTAATGACACTGGAATAGAAATTGTTGAAAACAAAACTTCTCGTGAAACTACAGAATCAGAGGATGAAGAAGAACCACAATCATTTTTTATTTGATGATTAAATCTATTTATAGTTCAATGTTTTCATTTTGTGTCCATCATCATTGATCATCGTAATGCTAATTAGCTTCACAATTTTACTCATCACTTAATTCTCATATGACAATTCTGCCTCATTGTCTCCTGCCTTTCGAAGAAAGCAAGGATCTGTTAAAATGGGTTTCGGCTGTCTGTCACATGAATAGAATGTTGATGTTGGTGTTAATTAAGTAAATGCCTTGATGCAGTTCGATGATGAGCATTTACTGATTAGGCTAAACAGAGATAAAAAATATGTCTGGTTGATGCTTTGGGTTACGATAGCTTTATTTCTAATTAAGTAATAGTGGTGAAACTTGGTGTATAGTTTTGTTACATCAAAGCTTGACTAAGTTCAGTCGTGAACATTTTCTGCTAACGCTATATTTAAGTTGGATTGCTTGAAGCTTTACAGAAAGATAAACATACAATTAATGAGTGTCATCTATTTATTTTGTGATTGAGGCGGGGAACATCAGCCTCACCATTGGCTTGTTTGATCTTCTTTCTTAAAAACATTATTGTCCATCTACTAATTTTGCCAGTCAGTGTCTCGTTGGCTTTCGCTGAGAAATCTACCACTTTTAAAGTAGCTAAGTCTCTAACTCAATATCATCCAAAATCTTCGACATTGAAAACACGATTTATTTGTCACTTTAAATCAAAATTGATGTTTTGATCTTACCGGGAAAAGATAACCTTCTGATATCCAATATTTAAGACAAAATAAACATTTTAGAATTAGTACACGAATCGTGTACCATAATGCGTTTCAGCGCTATTTGTAATAAGGGACTCAAAAACGAGGCTAGGCATATTCCACAAGTCATTTCAAACGGTGATGCTATATTCTTATCTGGAGAGCATGCCCAATAAATACTATCGGCGTAGACTGGAAAAACCAGATGCTAGAGATTAAAATTCGATTGAGAATACTGGCGTATTTCGCCAAACCTAACTGATTAGAAATTACAGTAAAAACAGAAACGATTGAATGTAAATCAATTTATATACATTCATATTACATTATTGTATGTGTTGCGACCCATTTGTGTCAATTTCTAGGTCCCAAATATTAGCGACTTAGCTCCTTTAAATTGCATGTCAGAGAACATAATTAACATAATTAAAATTCAATTACTTGAACCCAGTCAGATAGTTGACTAAAAAATGATAAATTGTGTTGATTTACCAGATGTTATTACATCACAATATATTTTTAATAGTAGATCATAAAATGATCCATCATTGTGTTCAACTGTGTAATATGAATATTCATTTATTACTCAGATTGTAATCTTTTGATGAAAAGATGAAATCCAAATGAACTTTATATCAGATTTGTATACGCCCACATTTCATAGAGGTATACATGTATTGTTGTCATTGTCTGTAATTTGTTATGAACAATCTACTGGTCCGAGTTCTTGACAGATTTTTTTAGAGTTATCTTCCCATTTATGATCAGACTTATAGGAAAGCTTGTGAACTCAATACAGGACAAAGTCAATATAGGACAAAGTTCTTGATGAACCTGTGGCTCTGTGTATTAGAGAATTAGCAGACCAAATTATTTTTAAAATTTTCATATAGTAAGTTTTAAACAAGTTAAAAAGATTTCTCTTTTCATTTATTTGTGGGTTTTTTTTTTTGAACTTGTGAATGTGATGTAGGGCAAAGTTCTTGGTAGAATTTTCTCAGTCTTGGACGGTAAAGGGTTGGGTGGGTGTGTTTTGGAGGGGGAGGGGGACGGGGAATTGTCCACTGCTAACTAGCTATTTCTACTAGTGGGCGTATTAGTGGACCTATTTGTGTTATTATTGAAACAGGTTTGTTAAAGAGACATTATGTGAGATTTAAAACTGGATGTTCTCACTATAATAGTTCAAAAATAGATAATGAAAAATGATTATATTGAAAATTTCAGTCAAATTATTTAATTCTGAAAGAAGTTATAAACGGCTACCTTTATTGGATCTCTGGCAGTGGATGCAATTAGAATGTATTACAATTGTATTACTTTTTAATACGAGTGAGATTTTTCATATATAACAATATAAAGCTGTGTATAACTCTATTGACAAGCCTTTTATCGCCAGTCTATGATGGGCTTATCATGTGAATAAATGGCTATAATAATTTATTGCCATAAAAACAGCATGCAATGGACAAATTTAGCTCTACCATAATGCCTCTTTAAATAAATGATTTAGTTTAATTTGTAAACCATTCATTTCAGTACACCAAGAAACCATCTTGATTTAACCAACTTATCATTACTCTGTATGTTTCTTGAGTGCCTTGGTGATCTGGCATTAACAACATAAAACATGATTGGTTAAAAACAATTGTTGGGAACCAATTAAAGGAGATACTTAGTTCTAATTTTTCAGTGCTAATTGTTCAGTGCTACATCACTTAAAACTCTCATTATGCAGCATTCAATTTTGCCTTGTGAAATGAACATTATCTATGGCTAAGGGAGGTCACAAATGTTTTGGGAATAGAAGATGTATGCCATGACTAAAATATGAATGTTTTAACAATATCATTCTTTACATATTTTCAAAAGACGTACATACTTGCAAAATGCAGAGCTATTTATATCACTTATCTTAAAACTACCAAATCAATGATTTTTGACATTGTGGCCTCGAATGTAAATTTAAACACAATTTTTCCTAAAGGTGAAGGTTGTTAGCTTTGGAACAGATTATTTATTTTTTTTTTTTAAAAAGATGCTTTTCACAAGTCGTAATAACTGGTAAATTCAAACTCAGAAATGCAACAGAATTCAGCAGCATAATGAGTAAAAGAAAAAAGAACTTTAAACATCTGAATACCATGTCAGGTCATATATAATAATTGAGATCATAAACAATGCAATCAGGGGCCTTATTCACAATATTTTAAACTGAAATATTTTAAGAATGATGGCTTTTCATTTATTTAAATGCTAAAATTTGTATTAGAACTTTAATTCTTTGCCAATCAAAATGCTGAATGATAAAATAGTTTATTTTAAGATTTTGAGAATGAGGCACCAGTCATATTTCATCTGAATGTTTATGTTTCAGTAAATATTCAGTTTTTTCTACAATTTTATAGCACACACATATACATATATATATTATAATCTTATATCTTTTAATTTATTTTTGTATTATAATCAAGAAATGATGATAGTTCATCAATCTGATTAAAATATAGATCCTATTTCATTTTATTTTTTATAGTTCAAAATTTCATTTTACTTATTTTCACTGCAGCAGAGTCTGGATTCTGTGTGATGTGAGTGATTAGCCAATCAGATGATCTGTTTAGTCGAATTCTTATCATATGGCGAAAGGAACTGTGGGTACACATTTAAATCAATAAAAAACAAAACGAAGCAAAACAGGTATTTCCAAATAGCCACATAGAACACCAACCCTGATATGTTAATTGGATGACTGATGTCAAACTTCGCTGTAATAACCCCTGGCATAACCTCCCACTACAACCGGCCAGATCTTAATATAGTGGAGGTCATCGAAAGTATCCAAAAATGAAGTGAAATATAGATCTGAATTTTAATTAGATTGATAATTTATGTTAGTTTATAGATAAATAATTTATTTCTAAAAAAATGTTTATTTTCATTGTATACAAAACTCAAGTAGATGTTTATGTATTGTAATTATTTTATTTAAAATTCGCCTTATTTTAAAAGAAAACATTAAGAAATTCTTTTTACGGTTTAGTAGATTCAGCAGTCGCTCAAACGAATTGTCATGACTGATGACCTCTTAATAGGAGTGACCTCTTAATAATATTTCAAAGTGCTGATATCAAGTAACATTTTACACATCGATGCATCAGTAAAATTGGCTGTTCCCGAAACTAGGTAATAGAACAAATGTTCTTTAACTCAGATCTCTAATATAAATTCTGTAGTCATATTGTTAGGCTTCCACCTTTTAGGCTCTTCCTCAAGCGGTATGAAGGTAGACCAAGACTTCATACAAGAATAATATCCAGTACAGCATGTAAGCAATGACGTTTCTACTCCGGAAATTTACTCTCTCTCTCTCTCTCTCTCTCTCTCTCTCTCTCTCTCTTAAATATTATTGTCTCCTTTAATTTATATTGGTGACCAATAGTATTGGGCTTTAGCAATGGAAGAATGCTCATTTGTATACATGTACTGGAGGTTTTTTTTTTTTAGTTTGATTAAATGTTTTAAAGATGTATTATGTAAAACTTAATAAAGAGAATACTGTTCTTCCTATGAATATGTTAAAAAGATAAAAGTGCTGTCCGTTCTTACTATAATAGTTTAAAAATAGTTAATAAGAAATGAATATATTGAAAATTTCAGTTAAGCTACTTTATTCTAAACGAAGTTATGAATGTTTGAAGTTTTGACAAGATAGTCTTGATTGTCAGTTACCATTGCACTGCAGCAGTAATAAACAACGCTGTGATTATCCATTTTATCATTAATTGTTTGTTAATTGGCGAAGGTGTTCTAAACCATGCAATATCTAAACCATCCGATGCCCTAGTGAGTGATTATAGGCTCCCATGTGAATAAATGTCTAAATAATAATTTATATGACATTTAAAGCCATAAAAAGGACCTACAATAGACAGATTTAGTTCTTACATAATGCATCTTTAAATTAAATTTAGAATTAAATACAAGATGAATCTTTATCATAAAATAAAAATAAGTTTATTTATATAACTGATTGTTGAGGGACCAGCAACTTGTTTAATAGTTTAGCTAAAAATGCAATTCATTGAAAATTGTAGGCAATAAGATATATATATATCAAACTACAATATTAAATACATGTATGTGTTCAATAAATATAAGTATGTCTCAATAAGGTCACGCCAATTTGATTTTCTGTTCTTCAGGATCACACCTAAAGATTTTCCTTCTTATTTTTTTTTTTTTTTTTTTTTTTGAAAAAGACTAATTTAAAAACCAAAAGTACTTGGTTGTGCTGTTCAAATACTTTTAGTTCCAAATTTTGATATTTTAAACAAAACATGTTTCACATGATTTAAGTGGATATTTGTTTATCAAGACCCTGTAGAAGAGAAAATTAATTTGTTGTGACCTAAGTGATCAGGGTATATTGGTATATATGTCATAATATGATGTACATTACACTACATGACACACTGGGAATTTCAATCATTAGCAAATTAAACTACAATATTGTGAGAATTGAATCTTGTCAGGAAATATCAGTTGAAAAGTGGTTGAATTACCTGCGATATTTATAAAGATAAGATAAATTGAAAATTTTACAGCATTCAGCTTGCCATAATATGAAAGTTGTCAAAGAAAATTTTGGATTCTGTCATGCCGTTTGCAGGACCAATTGTTCTTCTGCCATCTATGGAGCAGATGCAAGAGGGGCTTACTACTGACCTTTGTGGGGGGCATTACATAGTACCTTGTAACTCAAGATATGCTGAAAGTTTTACAAAACCAGCTTTTGTTTGTTGGGGGAGGGGGCAGAGTAGTTTGCCTTGCCTAGGACACAAATTTGTCTAGCACCGGCCCTACTTACACATAGGCCCTACTCCCCTACATGTTCTGACAGTTCACATGAATATTTTTTTTTTCACTGTATTATATGGAGCAATTAGTTTTAACAAATATACAGAAATCAAAAATGGTGAAAATGACAAATAATAACTTGTAAAAGAAATCAAAACATAAAATAAGAATTGGATGTAATTTATGTTTCATTTTATTTTCGATTGTGTAAAAATACGAAAAATAAACATAAGTGTGAGCTATGCTTTAATTAATAATAAATATTGTTTGAAATCAGCCCTTAACAGATGTCTAAACATGATTGGTGGAATGTTTTCTCTGCTACCAATAGAATTAACTGTAATTGCTTAGACTGACAATTTTTAATTAGCCTGTTAAATATACACTGTAGCTTTTGATTGGAAGAAATAATGTCTGTTTTATAAATCTTTATTTTGTAAATATTTATTCAAATATTCAAAAACTGCAATATTCATGAAGGTTACTTGTAAATTTGTTACAAAAAAAGGAAAAAAAGGAAAAACAAATGACAGAAATTAAAAAAACAAAAGAATTGTGCTTCAAAAGATAATAAAATTAATGGTGTCTCAAATATTTAATATTTGTTTATTTTCTTTAACAACCAGGGAGAATGGGTAGTAGCCGAATGGTTGATCATAAGGTCTGTCATTGAGTCAGGTGGCGTGGTTTTAATTCCCGGCCTGTACGTGACAAGGAGTAGGGTCGGCTGTCCATCCTTGTGGGTTTTCTCTGGGGCCTCTGGTTTCCTCCCACTGCTAAAGAGTCCTTCATGCGTGTGAATTATTGAAATAAAATTGAACCATATATATGTTAGTCCTGAAGTTACCCAGTTTGTGTCGATTGAATATTAAATCATATTTCTCTCTCCATTTAACAACTTGTTTGGATTACATGAATGATGTATGGATAGTGGATAGAGATGGGGAAGTCCATGGTTTATATCAGATAAATTCCCCATAAAATCAGATCTATGAAATCCAGAAATGAAATGAAATGAAATGGGCTGTATCATTGTACTTTTCTGCATATCTGGGCTCATCATGATCGGCATACACCAGGCAGTGTGCCATGAAGGAAGTTTTCCCTGGATAACGTTTTACTGACTGAGCCACGACGGCTCCTATGAGATCCAGGAAACTAGGTTAAAATAAAGAGGATAAGTTGACACAGATTGTCCTGGTATATTTTGTGTTGGTCAACAGCTGGATTCTTGGGA